TGCATATAGGTAAAAACGCATAATTACTCAACATCCAGCAGGATAATTAAATTCAAAAAAAAAAAACTGTGTGGGAGGTACTTGTTGCAACAGTAGAAGAAAACTAACATAAATCTGGAAATGTTTGGGAGCGCTTCTCAGGACGCCTTCAGGATGTAGCGTGGAATGCATGTGCTCGTAGCTCACTTCAGTAACGTAAATTGGATGTGATAACTTGATCGTCAGATATCCCTTGCCGCGAAAAGCCCAGCACTCACCGGCTGCCAGAGGACGATGCTGAAAACAATGCCCCCATTAATTACTGGCATATATGTCTTCGCACTGCTATGCGTTACTGATACCTGAATCTACCACTTTATGCCCAACGAATTGAGTTTCAAAACACAAAATCCGCCAAATGGAAGAAATCAGTTGCGGTACCAAAAAATGGGCCAAAAGTGCGCAAATTTAAGTTTGGAGCGTCAGAATCTTCTAAAAATTCCAATATCCTCCACTACAATTGTCAAGCTTGGCCCATAAAACGTCAAAATCAGCCATGAATTCAACAATGAATCAATACACTTCACTAAATAAGTTCTGAAACTTTCGATTCCAGCAATAAAAAAAAAGATTTTAAAGTGAGGAACACTGCCTGGTACCTGAATGACTGCTCTCGGTGAATATGAGGAGTACCATAACGGAATACCGAAAATTGATTCGAGGCGAGAATTTTCTTTGTAACGCTCTGTACACCGTATGCTTAGAACAGATGCACCTAGAAGTATCTCAATCTGGCCGCTTTGCCAGGAACGGTTTTTTGGGGTGAATTACTGCTATCACAACAGTGTTTTACAAAAGAAAAATTCAGAATAAACGATTTCGATGAAACAGTCGAAAAATTAGGTGTTCAGGATCAATGAAGTATAAGTGAAGTGGGCATCAGTTTAGCGGAAAAACTAAGTGAGTCACTTGGTTAATGCAGCTAACCTGCACTTTCTAATGCGTAGTCCACTTTGCCGGTTTTATCGGCATCGTATTTGTCCAGTGCGTCGGTGATCATTCGTTTGATAATCAAGAAATCGGATTCAGATAATCCAGGAATCGAACTCACACTTGATTTCTGAAAACAAACATTCTTATATAAACTCAATCGGCCCCGAAAGTGGCTACCTGCAAAAGCTGTAATAAAACATCAGTCAAATTTCACTGTCAGTCTTCACATCCACTGATTGGGCCAACAAAGGCAATCTGATCGGAACATCGACAGGACTTATGGACCATGCCAATGCCAATCAGCAAACCCACGGGGCCGAAAATTGAAGAAATTAAGGAGCCGTGTAATTGACTTTTAGACGGAAAAAAAGAACTTCCTCCCCACCAAGCAATTTTGATGACTGTATCCCAAGATGCGTGCTTTACTGAAGCACTGCGAAAGATTTATGCTCAGCTGCAGGTGCGCAACAGAAAAAAAAAAACATACCGCGTGAGTGTCACCCCTTTCCGCCAAATGACTTGCAAAAAGCGAGACAACTCGATTTTCCACCATTCGCATAATCTCTGCGCGGAATTCTCCTCGCTCTTCTTGCGAAGCCTTTTCAAATCGACTCAGACTGGACGAAAGACCCTAAAATCTGCATATTTTCAACTGAAGTCATTACCGGAAAAATAATCAGTTAATAAATCACTCGAAAAAAAACGCGAATAAAAAGAATAATAAGCACAGAACAAACTTTTTCAAGATCATCCTTTATCTTATTTTTCAATTCGATTTTGAGCAAATTCAAATCATCGCCCTGCTTAGAGTCA